TGTACTCTGTATAGTCCGAATTATATATCCTGTAAATAATCTGTACTCTGTATAGTCCGAATTATATATCCTGCAAATAATCTGTACTCTGTATAGTCCGAATGGAACGAAGGATGTGGCGGTGTAAAGAATGAACAAGGTTTTCAATGATTTACGTGCATTGAACTTCTGACACTGAGTTAAGGGTAGGGGTATCCATTTTTGAAGATAATGACTTCGGACTCTTCCTTTAATAATAATCCTGTCCTTCCAATTCATAAATCCTGGATCCTGCAACCCTAGCATCAATCCTGTAATTACAAAATAAAAATAAAGACCGTTCCTAATAATTATCATATCAATGGTGAAATTTTGGAAAGAAAAGTCCTCGCGCGTCAGTTAGAGTTGTTTTTCATGTATGCAATTATATTTTTTCATCGCCTTTTATTATGCTAATTTCTCCAATATCCTTACCTATACCTGCGTATTCTTTCCTATACCTCCTGTATCCTTTCCTATACCTCCCTACCCTTTCCTATACCTCCGTATCCTTTTCTATACCTCCCTATCCTTTCATATTCCTCTTGTATCCTTTTCTATACCTCCTTATCTTTTCCTGTACCTCCTTATCATTTCCTATACCTCCGAATCCTTTCCTATACCTCCGTATCCTTTGCTATACCTCCCTTTCCTTAAATATTCCACCTGTATCCTTTCCTGTACCTCCTTATCCTTTCCTATACCTCCCTATCCTTTCATATTCCTCCTGTATCCTTTCCTATACCTCCCTATCCTTTTCTATACCTCCCTATCCTTTCCTATACCTCCCTATCCTTTCATATTCCTCCTGTATCCTTTCCTATACCTCCCTATACTTTCATATTCCTCCTGTCTCCTTTACTATACCTCCGTATCCTTTCATATTCCTCCTGTATCTTTTCCTGTACATCCTTTATCATTATACATATTTGCTGTATCTTTTATAATCCACAATTAAGTGAAGATTTAAAGTTCCTTACATTAGTGTTTATTTCATCTCACTCCATTTCTTTCTCTCTTACTTTTTTCTCTCTTCCTTCCTTAATCACTCCCTTATTTCATTTTTCCCTTTCTTCTTTATTCCCTTTCTTCCTCCCAAATTCCTCAGTTTTTTTTCTCCACACTTTCTACTTCATCACTCTCTTACTTTCATATTCTTTTTCTTCGTCGCTCCCTTTCCTCCTCACTTTCTTTCCCCCTGACTTCCTTTCCTCCTTACTTTCTTTCCTCCTCACTTCCTTTCCTCCTCACTTCCTTTCCTCCTCACTTCCTTTCCTCCTCACTATAATTCCTCACATCCCTTCCTTTCATACTCTTTTTCTTTCCACTCCCTTTTCTACTTATTTCCTTCCGTCCTCGCTCCCTTTCCATCTCAATCCCTTTCTTCTTCACTCCCTTTCTTCTTTATTCCTTTTTTTCTTCACTCCTTTTATTTCTCACTCCCTTTATTCATAACTCATTTTCCTTCTCACTCCATTTCTTCCCAGCTCTCTTTCTTCCTCACTCATTTTCTTCCTTACTCACTTTCTTCCTCACTCATCCTGTAATTTGTAACATGCATCCTGGCATCCTCTGCCATGCATCCTGCATACTCTGCCATGCATCCTGATTTCTGAATTCTGTATCATGTATGTGCATATTAATCCTCTGTTCCATGTTTCTTTTAGTCTGTATCCTGAATTATGAATTCTGTATCCTATATCATGTCATGTGTCCTGAATCCTGAATACTGCATCCTGTATCCTGAGTCCTGCATCATGTAAGCCTTTATCCTGAA